CCCGCCGCCGCCGCAGCCGCCTCCACCGCGCAACTCCGGCCGCTCCGCGCGCAGGACGGGGGCAACTTTTCCCTTCCGTTTGAACTCGGAGCGTGGGGCTGTCGCGCCCCACTGCCCCTCCTTTCCGTGCCCTCCCTGTCCATCCCTCCCTTGTGTGCACCACCCCAGGCAGAATGTTGCTACTTTGCGGGTCCAAACCTGGTCTCTTTTGAAGATATTACTAATTTTCTTTGACTAAAAGGCATGAAGTCAAGTAATTTTGCGCTATTTTTTTTTTTTTTTCTTTATAAGTGTGAGCTTTCATACTGCTTTGGTACATTGGGATCTGACCATTCATCACCTACATGAAGTTAAATGCTTCAAATAAAATGTTTATTCACCACTCCCTTAAGAAACCTGCTGCTACTACTGGCCTTCATTTAGCAGGAGATAACGGTTTAACCGTAATACTTTCTGGAAAGCTAAAATGTATCAGTTGTTTTCTCTCTCCTCTCTAGATTCCGGATTCATTTCCCACATGACATCCCTTCTCATTGCAATATCCAACAGTAATAATACCGGCTATTTGATGTCAGAGGGCTCTTAAATGCATCTTTTATGTTGAAATGGTCTGTTTGGGATTTAGGCCTAGCATTAATAATAGGTAGCAGTTGCTTTTAGTTATTGTAAAAGTTTTTTTTCCCCCTAACAAACTTCCAAAGTTCCTATTTTGGTAACTTGTAGAAGTACGGAGTGAAACTTTTCCAACCACTTCTGGCAAGGTTCACAATTGCATATGGATAAGATGCAAAGTGTAAGATAATTTGAATGAATTACCGACTACAGTGAAAATGCTGAGATTGGAAGGCTGAAGTTCTGGCTGGGGAAAGTTAGCAACACATAGAACTTGTAGATAATACCAGTGTGCTGCAGTAGAGAGAAAGGAACCTAACAGATACATTAGGGTCTTCTCAAGTGAGTTCTGAAAAGATAAATTTATATTATGGGATTGTGCATATATGAGGATACTTGTGTATCCATGCAGGCCCAGGACATAGGTATTTAACAAAGTTGGCTTCTCTTGGTTCTGAGCTATTATCACATTAAGAGAGTTTTCTTTTCTTTTCTTTTTTTTTCCTTCCTACATATTTGACAGCGTTGATTGATGCATTCACTAGGCCTTCTTCTGGAAACACCACTAAGAGAAATGCTTATTTAGTCTAACAGTTTGTGAAGAAAATGTACAATAAATAGTGAATGAGGGCTCGTATATTTTATGGGTTCTTCTTTTTAAAATTGATTTACAATTTATTTAACTAGCCGGAATATTTATAATGCTTTAGAGTCAGTTTTAGAAAGAAAAACTTAGGTAGTTTATTGCTCACTAAAAAAAAAAAAAAAAAAAAAAAAAAAACAGATCCAGTAAGCACAGTGATAAAAGTACTCATGAAAGAATAAACTCTATTTACTTGTATGTAATTTAAAAAAAAACTTTACCGGGAAAATGCCACATATATTAATCCAAGATGAGCATATCATAACCAAGTTATGTATCTGGCCAAATATAGGTGAACCTTTAAAAAGAAGCAGTTTGTAGAAATATCAGCATTCAGTGATTCTTAAATTTGGCTCACTTTCAAACAGATCGTTTAAGGTGCTGATTCAAAGTAATACAGGTTTTCAGGTTTGTTTTTATTGGTGGCCTGTAACTTTCTCACAAAGTGCATATGTAAAATATTCTTTGTTTTCTCTTGAGTATTTTTAAATATTACATAGCTTATGGCGATATGTTCAGCAACATGATTTATAAGGGCATGCTATTTTTTTTTTAAGAGTAATCATTTATGCTCTCTCTAGACATTTCCTGCCAGCTAATGATATTCTTTACTTTTGATGTTCTGGAATATTTCTAATCATGAGTTGAGAAAGATACATTTTTAAAAATTAACTAGCACTTTAACTGTGCGTGAGAGTGAAATTATACAAAATATTGTGCTCTTTTATTGATACATTCTTGAAACCTTTAGGGAGTAATAAGTTGTAAATACTTTTGATGCAGAATTGGGGACTTGGATTATTCTTAATGTCTAGTTGACATAGTTGGCCTTGTTTAAGGGTTTTATCATGAGATATATGGGCATTTGGTTGGCAGGTAAACAGAATTCTTTAGAACATGAATAAACGCTCTTTGCAGTTTTTTGAGAACATATTGGGAGTATTTTCGAACACTTAAAATGCCTTGTTAGTATGTTTATTTAAAATGTTTATTATCATTAATAAAACTTTTAAATAACAACATTTTAACATAGATATGAATTATTTGGAGCTAAGTTATTATTTGCATTATAAAATGGGGCTGAGACTTTAAAATGAAATCCTCCTTTTGGTGAAAGCTCACTTTGTAAAGGTAGACTCCAAGAGTTCTTTGCATAGTACCACAGATCCTTGGTTCCCAGCATGTCCTGTGTATATAAGAAAATCAGTCAATCTAAAAGACTGTTTCAAAACTAAAATTTAAGTATTTTAGAGCATTTTAATAATTTAGTAATGTTTAAATGCTTTGTGGTTTGGCATATACCTTAGTAGATAAACTGTGACTTGCCCCCAATTTCTCTCTTCTAAAGTATGGAAATAAGAAAGATTCTGAAACATCAGAAATTTAAAAAATGCTAATGTTTTGTGGTAAAGAATAATATAATTCTTGTATTTTTCTCTGTTCTCCCTCCGCTTAAAGAATGCACACATTACGAAAGCTGACTACTTCTTTTCTGGATTCTTTTATTGAAAAAGAGCAGTTTTCAAAGCTAAACTTGAAACACTGAGACTGATGTTTGCTTAGAGAGGAAAAAATAAATGTTAATTATTGAAGTGATTTATTATATATTATATTAATATATACTTTTAAAAAACCAATTATATACAGTGTTTAGATGACTGGTTATAATTTGCAAAATTTTAATGGACTTGACTATTAAAATATTTTATGAATTTTACCTTCTCTCTTTACATTCGAACATTAAAAATTTTAATATTTGCTTTAATAGTAATAATATTTTGAGCATTACAGTTACTTGTGTCTCCAAAGTACGTATTTAGATGAACATAACAAAAAATAATGAATTCTGTAATATTCATCTGTCCTGTATGCCCTTTTAAAAAACATTAAATAGCTCTGGGTTTTTTATCCTAATTTATTTGAAAGTAAGTAATTTATCTGTTTTTTTCTGGAGGGAGGTTATGTGGCAGAAAGAAGTTACGTAAGATTAGTGTGGATTAGTTAATCAAAAGTTAGATGTGCTCCGAAAGCCTTGCAGAGGTTACTGTTTAATTTTTTCTTTATTTTTATTTTTATATTTTCTAAGAAAATGTCATGTATAAGAATCAAACATTTTAAGTAAAACAGGAATAAAAATTTAAATGTTTTAAATTATATTTTATTTTCAAATTATCTGAATTTTAAGAGGCAACCATGAAGGGTCTCCTGGAGTCTTGTAAACATTGAATATACTAGGTTCTCCGTTTCCCTGTAAGAAAAAGCCTGAAAAATTATTTTCAAAAATTAAAAAATCTGTTTTTGGTGATGATTATTACTGAAGGCATTTCACAATCATATCAGTAAATTAAATGCATTTAGTTGCAGCAGTGTTGTCACAATGACGCACTCTATTGACTTTCTGGCATGTATGCTTTTCTTTGTTTTTTTCCATTTTTTTCTTTTCTGTTTCATTCCCATAGTATCAGCAATTATGTCTTGGGCATAGATCTTTTATTGTAACTCACTGAATATCAAATTCATCTCTTCTTTTGTATACGAACCTGTCAATTTATTTTTTTAAGTTTTTGGTTAAAAAAATTATGTGCAACTGTAATACTTGAGATAAATTTAAGATATTACCAAAATAAATAATGAACATATTATAGTCTACATGCAATATTTTTAGAGGGAAAGCCTTTGTTTTCATTGATTGTGGAGATGATTTTTGCTCCTAGACTTCCATAAACATTGACTGGCATCTAAATGTTTAGGATTTGCCAATCTGGCTGCCGGGCCCTGGCTGTCCTACAAGTGGTGAGGTCAAGGCTGGGACAAAAGTAGATATGCCTTCCTTGAAATAGGGTTAAGATATATATTGTTATAAGCATTTAGATAAATTTCGTGTACTATCTATAAGATTTGGGAACTAGGCCCAACAGTAGAAGCTGGTGCGCTTTGGTGACCATATCAAAACATTTTTTAGTTTTTAGGAATTTTTTTCCTTCAGATTGTGAGAAACAATAGTGGTGGTCTTCCACCCCAACCCCCCTCTTCCTGTAGGGATTCTGTGTATGATTTTGGTAATGTAATGCTTGAATCGAATCTCAAATGAAACAAGGAATTTTTTTTTAAGGTGACCATATCTGAAGAAAAGTTGTTTTCTTTTTTCGACATCACATTCATATTTTTGTTTGCATTCATTTCCCTAGGATGAATTTCATCCTTTCATTGAAGCACTTCTGCCCCACGTCCGAGCCTTCGCCTACACATGGTTCAACCTGCAGGCCCGAAAACGAAAATACTTCAAAAAACATGAAAAGCGTATGTCAAAAGAAGAAGAGAGAGCCGTGAAGGATGAATTGCTAAGTGAAAAACCAGAGGTCAAGCAGAAGTGGGCATCTCGACTTCTGGCAAAGTTACGGAAAGATATCCGACCTGAGTATCGAGAGGATTTTGTTCTTACAGTTACAGGGAAAAAGCCTCCATGTTGTGTTCTTTCCAACCCCGACCAGAAAGGCAAGATGCGAAGAATTGACTGCCTCCGCCAGGCAGATAAAGTCTGGAGGTTGGACCTTGTTATGGTGATTCTGTTTAAAGGTATTCCTCTTGAAAGTACTGATGGCGAGCGCCTTGTAAAGTCCCCGCAATGCTCTAATCCAGGGCTCTGTGTCCAACCCCATCACATAGGGGTTTCTGTTAAGGAACTCGATTTATATTTGGCATACTTTGTGCATGCAGCAGGTAAGTGCCGTGGTGAGAATTCCTTCCACTTTCTTGTGTGTGTTTCCTTCCTGATTGCCTCTGTGTGTGCTGGATCATTCCTGAACTTCCCGAGTTGCAGGACATGTACATAAAGCCAGGGTGGTTTTGAAGATAGACCAAAGTCAGAGCAGCCAAGACCCTCTGTGTCTGAGGTACCACCTTCATTCAGGTGGAAAAGCATAGCTTTGAGAGAATTCTCACTAAGTTTAATTCTTTTGGTAAGTTGTGTTATCAAAGTTGTTGGTGGTGTTTTAATCACATTGTTTTGATGAGGAGTGAGAGAAGCCTTGTGAAAACCCCTGTTATGAAGAATATATTTTAACTGGCAGATGATCTAGTTAAAAAACATTTAGTTTGGTAGTGAGGCAATATTTTTAGCTGCTTTTCTGCTGGGATTTTTTTAACCTACTGGGGCCTCTTCAACCCCCTGCCAATTAAGACGTTGGAGGTAAGATTACTATCAAATTGCTGATAATTTATGAAAGAAAAATAATCACGTTAATAGACAAACTTAGTAGTTTTGTATTTAAGAATTTGTAGTGTTGTCTCAGATAGCTAAGGGAAACAGAAAATCCAGCTGCTTAAGTAATTGATGGAGTGGTTAATGTTAAAAATAGTCAACCTGTAAAGTGCATGAACACATTGAGAAATCATTATTGGTAGTTTACGTAGTGAGTTGCTTTGATTTATTATAAAGTTCTTTATTGTTCTTTTAAGGCATGTTTTACCCATGCATGTTTCAGCATTTCGAGTAGCATTTAGGATAAAACTATTGAGAACTGGATAAAATAATGCATTTTTACTTTGTTCCTTTCGTCTTGTTTTAGACAAAAGGCTCATTGTGTTATGTGAAAGCTCAGGTCTTGTGTAACATGTTGACTTTTATATGTACACATTGGTCTTGCTAGATTACCTTCATGGCTGTTCCTTGAGCCAGATGGAAGAAAGAAGTTTGTGGAGTCCTACCCGTAGGTTATGTTGGGGTTCATGTATTTATGTATTTTTTCCACAAAGGAGAGAGAAGATGTAACCTGTAAAATCAACACTGCACTGTTTTGCAAAACATTTTTAATTCTAAAAATGTTGGCTTTTTTAAAAAAGAAGTCAGCTGATAGTCTATTCTCTATCATTTCTCTCCATATATATTTTAGAAAGAGAACTTTTGTTATCCATCTGTCCTTATATAAGAAACTGGAGAAATTAACTTTGCAAGCATGTCACATAATCATTTGCATTCTGTTGGCAGGGGATAGATGAGTATTTTAGAGGATGTGATCTGTAAGTGTTTCAAATATTTGGGTTTTTGAAAATGTATACTTAATTATAAGTGCCTGTTGCTCTAGCCAGTTCTGGATAGCATAAATGGGAAAGCAACACCTCTCAAATGACCTCTAAACAGGAGCGAGTAGCCCTCCCTTAACTCCCTTTGAACCCTATCGTTCATTTGTTTTGCCTATTGAAAAAAGCAAAGTTAAAAATTTTTAAATTTATTTGCATACGTAAGTGAGGCAAGGTGCAAAAAATATGGGTGTTACAAGTGCTTTCAAGGAGCGTTCTTTAAACTCTTGTTAGAAAAATAAATTATAAATTATAATGAATGCTTTAATTGACCGACATAGAAACTTGAGGGTGCCAATAGGTGATGCAGACTGTGATGTTTGCTTCTTTACAAGATAATATCAAAATGAAATATCTGTGAAGCTTTTCTCAGTGTGAGCAGTATCTGTTCTGAATTTTTGACTTAAACATTTCCCTTAGGATTAAAGAAATGCAACCTTTCTAGCTATTCCCATTGCATGAATTCTGTTTTGTTGTTGATGATTTATTATTATGCTCTTGCTCCAAATCCTTGAACTAACAATTGTTGGTTGTCGCAATACCTGAAAGGGTTATGTTGGCAAAATGACATTTAGAAGGTTGCTTAGGAGAGTGAGCATCCTTATTGCTTATGAAAGATTTATTGACAGCAACCTGGATCAGACTACCTTTTGGTTTGGTTTTTCTGATGTATCCCAGAATCCTTTGTTATGTCTGAATGCCAGCCAAGTGTTTGGCCATTGGTCTTCACAGGACCGCAGTAATGGCTGCTTCTCTGTGCGCGCAACAGGAAGACTGCAAAAGAAAGTATTAAGGGCCTTTTGTCTGAAAATATTTCAAATTCGATTTAAGAGATTTAGAGACCTGTTATTTGTGGAAGAGAAGCTGCCAGTACAAATATGAGGTAGATTGGTCAACTTACATACGACTGATTTGACAAGCATCTGTTATAATACTGAAGATTTGTAAACACTAAACAATGTTTTTACCTCCTTAAAAGTTTTGAGAACTTGCCAGTATTGGCAGGAGGCAGCGACTCTGAAACGTGCTTGGAGATACATGCCAAAACCATTGTGGCCTTTTCACCTATAGTGTGTTTTTTTTTTTTCTCTCTTTCTTTTAAAATGTTGTATTTTTTTCCCTGCCAAAATGCCTTATTTTTTTCTACATGTCCACAGAAATGAGATCTTCTTTTCCTTCTAAAAATGTATACAATAATTATTGCTTCGTGCATCGGCCTATTCATTGGAAGTTGAAATCTTAAAACATACATGTAAATACTGGAAGCAAATGCAGAAGCAATAATTTTTTTAAAGCGGAGGTGACATTCTAAGACTTATTGAGGTGCTAAAATACAATACATAAACTACATTCCATTTTTTTTCTCTAAATTCAGTGGCATTAGAACTGTGAATTTTGTGGCAGATAAACAGTAACAAGTACAGTGAATCAGAGTGGTTCCATAAGCCTGAGAATTTCATCTCGTTAAAAGTATAAAAGAACAGAACCATTTTATGCCTTTAAGTTGGTCTCTCTTTGAGTTGTCCTTTCCATGTATCATATGACAACTTGGAGATATTATGGTATTGTGGCAAATGGTTTTCTTTGTGGGCGTGTAACAGTAAAGCTAATTTATGACCAGTCTTTACCAGATGATCTGTATCAGAATCTACAATATACCCGGCACGTGGCAAGGTCACAATTTAAGTTGTTAAGGTCATAACCTTAGCCACCAGGCATTTGACCTTTTAGATAAAGTTAACCTTTGTTCATTAGTAGGCACTCAACCAGAACTTTCTGGAGCGTTTTTTTTTTTTTTTTTTAAACTGCTTCTGTATAACTTCTGGTAATGTAATCAGATTCTAGAAAGATTCTCAATTGAATTAGTTAAATTTTGTAAGAGGTTAGACTTTTTAAGGACTCATCTCTTGGATAGAGGTAGGTTGCTGTATTTAGGCCATACAATGACAGTGTTGTGATTTATATTTGATAGTTATTACCTGCTGTGGGGTAGAATAAAAGCTCTGAGGCAGCTGTGTGGAGACATTTAAAAACTAAAATTAAACAAATATAATTATTTTTAATTCAAATAAGGCCTTTACTAATTTTCTAGTGGCATTAGGCCCAAAAGGTAAATCACAATGAACCATCTTAACTTTTTTCAGATGAGGAATTTTCTAAGATTGGAAGTATTTTTAGTGGCTTTAAAATTTACTTTGAAAGACTAATAAGTGACCAAAATTTGTCAGATGATTGCCGTAATTGTTAATTAGCCAGTGACAAAGTAAATTGATATTGTCCTAATGGCAGTATGAGAGCTTGTTAGTTTTAAGGTAAAAAGTGAACACTTTTGCACATTAATCTTTTGGTGCAATAGTTACTTTTTTTTTTTTTAACCGATTGCTTCTATGCTACCCCCATTACTACCTTTACTTAATTTTGTTTGGACCAGGAACAGCAAAGTTCCCGTCTCTCTCTGAAAAAGCTGTTTCAGTGTCTCTGAAGCTCGGTACCTGTCCTGTAAACCTGTACAACAGTATTACTGATTACCACATTACTTTTACCATATTGTTCACTTAATTATGCTGTCATGAATGCTCATTTTAAATTATTTAGATTACTGCTAGTTTTGCTCTGATATGCCGTGCATTCTTCTATTACATCCAAAAGAGAAATACTCCCATTCAGGTGCATTTTAGTTTTATTTTGGCTCCATGATTGCCATTCCTTCATATAGTAATAGAGAAAGCCGTGATATGCAGATAGACCAGATGGTCATGTTGACAGATTGAGAATTCACTTCCTACTGCTTCAGAGCAGGTGTAAGATTAGGAGTGTCTGTGTATGAGTGTGTGTATGCTTCGTGTGCATGTGTGTGTACATTCAGGCTGCTGCACACAGAGCAGTTTGAGCAGTGGGAATGATTTCTTTTTTAAAAAGCTGGTATTTTGAATATAGCATAACTATACATTTAAGTTTATCAGTGCACATAGAATAATTATTATAAAAATTTTTAAACGAATCATGTTAGATTGTTAGTTTATAATTTTATGCCAAATTAATTATGATAATTTCTTAATTTTTAGGTGATTTATCACATTAGTTTGAGGCAGTATTGCATATCTAAAATATATTCAGTATATACTGTGAGTGGATATGTATGTATGTGTGTTTCTGCTCAAGTCTAGGACTGTACATTATGTAATTAAACTTATTCAGTACTTTAATAAACTCCCTAGTAGAAAGTAGTGCAGTTAATTCCTATGATTTCTAATAAAAAGTGTGTTTGGAAAAAGTGATATTTCAAATTAATAGAGTAAGGACCACCCTATCTCAAATTTTAACTCTATACTAAACTCAAGGTAGATTTTGTGGCTGACTGATCTCCTGTGAATTACTGGTCTATGCACACATTTTTAGAAATTTTTATTTATCTTTTAATTCTTCAAAGGAGATGGCACTAGCAATCAATAAACTTGAGATAAATATGGCTTTTATATCCTTGAGTGTTTTCTGTGTAACTTGAGGATAGTAACAATATCCTTTATCTAGAATGTAGTAACAAAATCCTTTTTCAGAATGTAGTGAAAAAGATGGAAGTTCAAATGCAGGGAGTGTATAGGAATAAGGAGAAATAGTTTTTCCGGAGTAAACCTTTGAAT